CAAGGTGGATGGTGGAAGAACACAGCGGTTACAAAGTGGAAGACAGTATAGACTTAATTTTACCTTCCCAAGAAACCAAGACCATGACTAGAACCGTTCTCTTGGAGGCACTTAAGACAAGGACCAACAAGATCCAAAGGAATTCTAAAATAGAGATGGCTCTGAGAGAGAGACAAGTGAGAGGGAGTGCCAGTGACCACTTAAATACAACAGAGACTCATTTCCATAGTAAGGTTTCAGGAAAAAACTCGGCGATATAAGGCAGTGAATTCTGGCAATTCCTGGTAGCAGCAGATTTTAAAAGTAAGGGTAATCAGGGCAGTGTAGGAGCAGTAAACTCCTTAGTTATTCTTCCCCTTCATTCCCCTCACAACCCAAAATTCTTCCTTTGCTACCCAGAGGGTCTGAGAGCAAAACAGCAAAGTATTGTGCGGGGTGGTTGGAAAATGTGCATCTTACCCATCCATCAATGTGATTCAAGCCTCTCCTCCAACATCTCTCACCCAAAACATAATCTAAAACTCCAATTCTCAGTTTTTTAAGTTATAGGTTTAATATAAAATACATGTACTTAGAAATATAAAATTACCTTAATAAGAAGATCTAGAGCCGGAATTTTACATTTAGCAGCTTTATCTTTTGTGTAAACACTGGTACAAGTATTCTAGGTTTAGAAGGAAACAAACCAAAACCATCAATAAGACAGAAAAATTAAGACTTAACAATAGCTAAAACTACATCTCTGAGAGGAGCAATACCAATATATGACATAACACAATATTTAGCTGTTAAAACTACAACATTAGAGTATACAAATATACAGATCAAAAATTACTGAAAACATTGATACAATATGCTATGGTAATAATACCAACAATAACCATAAAAACATAAAGTAAATGGAGACCTCAGCAGGATTAAAAAAAGTTACTCCTCCTTATATACTTCCCATAGCACTTGTTACCATATATCAAGAAAGAAAGAACAAAGAATAAACAAGGTAAGTGAAGCAATTCAGAGAAGAGCGGCTGGGACTCGAGAGCAGACAGTACAGTGTAAGGAAACAAGCAGGCGCTCTGGAAGGAGGCAACCTGGCTCCAAAATCTGGGTGAGTTTCTTAACTTCTAAGTCTCATTTGTAAGCAAGAGAAATTAAGAATATCTACCTCACAGAAGAGTTCTGGTAAAAATTAAATAAGATAAACTGTACATTAAAGAACTTTGTATACTATGAAGCACTCTACAAATGCTAGTTACTCCTACCATTGAAACAGTTTTCTAGAATGTTAAGATTCCAATCAAGAAAGACTAGAAGTCAAAAGAGAATGAAATCAAAACCTATTAAAAAAAAGACTGATGATCATTAAAAATATTTTATATATTAGAGCTAGTTATAACTTATAAAATACTACTTATAAATTACCTCAGGTTGAATACATATTCTTCATCCACTCTTAGCATCCAAGAACTAGAGGCGAAGTCAGGACCAGTATAAACAACTTACCTTGAGATATGGCCCTTGTTGGAAGTATAAATAAGTCTGAGAAGGAATGACTTAAATTATGATTACTAGTTCCATAGTAAATTATGAGGAAACCTAGGGAAGGCAGGTCAGAAGAAAATGGGTGGCACCAGAGAGGCGAACTTTTCAGGCTATTGACCAAGAGAACATATGAACTACAGGATATATGAATCTTACCCATTGGGAGAATTCTTTAAAGTTGTTTTTTCAAGTGTTCTGAAATCTCCCCGCAATTCAAAAAATCCAATTTACGATTTTTTATAAAACTCATTATCTATTCTATTTGCAAAAAGTTATGAAAATAGTTTCTGACAAAGGCCTTAGCTTCTTAAATCAATAAAAAAGGAACAGGGGGCTAGCCCCGTGGCCTGGTGGTTAAGTTCGGCACACTCCGCTTAGGCAGCCCGGGTTCACGGGTTCGGATCCTGGGCTTGGACCTACACCACTAGTCCGTCAGCCACGCTGTGGTGGCAAGCCACATACAAAGTAGAGGAAGACCGGCACAGATGTTAGCTCAGAGCAAATCTTCCTCAGCAAAAAAAAAAAAAAAAAAAAAAGAACAACAGCCCACTTCACTTCCAACACAATCAAGCAGAAATCAGTAAACTCCCCAACAACAAAAGCAGAAATAAAATAAAAATTCAAGTTTAACTTACACCATAAGTTAAAATGGATACTGGTATATAATGAGGTATGTTTTTTCCTCCTTACCTTAATATCAAGAGAATAAGGTGTGATCTTCTGGCCAATTTTTTCTAAGAAAATACATAAAAATTTTAAGACTTCTTCTCTACAATCACGAAACTATAAAAAAACAAATACACATTATAGTAAATATAGGTATAAAAGTCACGGCAACATAAAGGAATATACGAGAAGAGCAAAATGAAAACTTGCAACTTACTTCGTCAATGTTAAGTGATTTCCGAACAAATACAAGTAAACCAAAATCTTTGGAAAAAACTAAGGAAGTCTGTAATGCTGGAACAAAAAGAAAAAAAAGTAATGTAAGAGAGCTGCCAAGAAGCACTCCATAACCCACCATGAGGGGCTGCACGTTTCTCCCTTCAGCCTTATGGGTGATAAAACACTAACCTAAAGCTGCTGTATTTAGACAAGGAAAACAGGAAACTCGATGATGTTCCATAGGCATGTGGTAGGCAGAATAACGGCCCCAAAGATGCCTGAACCGTAATCGCTAGTGTCACACCTGTAAACATGCTAACTTTACATGGCAAAAGGAAATTAAGGTTGCAAATGGAATTAAGGTTGCTAATCAACTGATTGACTTTAAATGGAGGAGATTATCTTGGATTATCCCGTGGGCCCAATGTAATCACACAGGCCCTTACAAGTGGAGGAAGGAGGAATAAGAGAGATGGGATATGGGAGAGCAGGAGAGAGTCCAAGCATGAGTCACTTGACCCACTGCTGCCAGCTTTGAAGATGGAGGAAGGGAGCCATGATGGAAGAAATATGGGTGGCTTCTAGAAGCAAAGAACGTCAGCAAGGAAAAGGGAACTTTAGTCCTGTAACTGAAGGAACTGAATTTTGCTGACAACTTGAAAGAAAAAGGAAATGAATTCTCCCCCAAAGCCTTCTGAAAGGAAAGTGGCCCTGCCTGATACCTTGGTTTTAGCTTGCTGAAACCCTGTGTTGGGCTTCTGACTACAGAACTGTAAGATTAACAAACCTGTATTGCTTCAAACCACTAAACTGTAGTATTTGTTACAGCAGCAATAGAAAACTAATACACTCCTCCATAATCTCTCAAGTGAAAAAACACTGAATCTTCCGAGTAAACACGAAACTGCTTTATAAACAAGTTATTAAAGGAAAAGAAAGGAATTCTAACCTAGAAACTCTGAGACCAGAAGGCCTTTACACCAAGTCAGTTTCTTCATCTTTTTCCCCATTAATATATCCCCGACAATATATAGGTGCTATGTAGCATCTTGTTTAAGGTATTTACATTATTTCTCCACTCTATTTAGCAATCACCACGTGAAAAGAAAATCGCACCTATCTTTTAAAAGAACACACAATGGAGCAGGTCTGCATATTTGCGCTTTTAAAAAGGAATATCAGAGTTTTCACGCAATGATATATTTTAAAAGTGCTAAAAACAGGCATGTTTACTAAAAAAGGGAAAAAAGTTCTCATCTAGGCATTGCTAAGAGGTTAAAAGAACAGCATGACTTTCCAGTTATATTTCTGCAATGCTTCTCAAAAGTAGGAACAGCAAACACAACGGTTTGGAAAAATTTTAGGGGAGATTAAGGGGAAAGTAAATACTTCCCCCTTATTATCTCTCCCCACTTTGTATAGCAATGACTGCCAAACTTACGGCATTTTCACCAACTTTGGTTTCAAAATATCTTTCCTCTGCTGTTAAGAAAAAAAGTAGTGTGACAAATCCCTTTTTAAACACATCCACAGAAATTCCGAGGATGCAGAATCAAACGGCTGGACTTCAAGCTACTGTTAACTAGACCCAGGGCGGGAGGAACGCCGGCCTCACTCCGGCAGCCCTCCGGCACGCCGCGGCGCGCGGCCCGCGGGACGGTACGCACCCAGCACCGCGGGGCGGGTGCTCAGCACGCACTCCTGCCCCAGGCCCCGGATCAGATGGTAACTGGCCATCGCGGCGCTGCAGCGGTCCGCGGCGGACAAGGACTCCTGCAACTGCATCAAAAAGCCCTGCACGCCAGAGCCTGTGTCCGCCATGACGCCCAGCCCGGCACAGGCGCAGGCACCTAAACAGCCCACCCGGGCCCAAAGGCTCCGTGCGGCAGAAGGCAGGGCTCGCAATAAGGAAAAGGGAGCTTCCGGGGCGGGGCGGGAGCGGCAGGACCTTCCACGAGGTGCTCCGGGGGGGGCTCTCCCTCGTAGGAACAGCTGCTCTGCCGTAAATTAAGAGATCGGCAGGGTTAAGAATGTGTTGCGCACGATACACTTAGCATGCATGCATCGAAGCTTTGGGAGAAACAGGAATCTAACGGTTTGACCTCCAGAAATAGATGGGGAGCATAGTTGGTGAATTGGAGTTGACTAAATACCAGAGGCAGTAAAAGACAAGCGAGGGTCTTGGGGGAAGATCTACACGTTTCTCTCTTGATAAAGGGTGAAAATGCATTTGGAATGTCTTTAGACATGAAAACGCTTAGGGATAAAGAAGTATATTCTCCTTGGCCAACGCTCCAGCGAGGATCAACCCCCCCGGTGAACATGGTCTGGTCGGACTCCCCGGATTTCCCGCGAAACCGCGGTCCGGCAGGGGGTCAGACCACCTGACCGGAGGGGCCCCCGAGCGAGGCCTGCGTCTGCCGTCCGCGGGGCGCCAGAGCAGGCCGTTCAGTTCCCCCCTGTCGGTGCGCAGTGGCGCCTCCCGGAGGCGGAGCCGTGCGAGAGCGCTGCTATGATTGGCGGGGAGCCGCGAGCGCGCTGACGTCGTTGCTGCCGGCGCGAAACCTTGGCCCGCCTGGTGCGTCCGGGAGCGCGAACGCCCCCGGTGCCTTTCGGAGCTCCGCGCCGAGCCGCCGCTGTCCCCGGTAACCGCGCCGGCGGGGAGGGCGCGGCGCGAGCCTTGCGTGGGAGTGCTGTGCGCGAGGCGGGGGCAGCCGGGCCGGCGCGGCGCGAGCCTGTCCTCCTTGTCGCGCAGGTACCCGAGTAGCATGTCGTCCCCGGCGTCGACCCCGAGCCGCCGCGGCAGCGGGCGCGGGCGGGCCACCCCCGCGCAGATGCGTAAGTCCCTTCGCAAGTCCGTCCCCACCCCCACTCCCTGCTTTCGCATGTCTCCAGCCTTTTCCCGCCGCCGCTGAGAGATCGAGGCCGTGCCGACGCCCTGCGGATGTCCGGCCCGGGCGGCGCCTCCAAGTCCCGGAGGGAGGAGGACATGTCGTGCGGCCGCGAGCCTGCGCTCGGGCTCTGCCAGCGCCGGTGCGCGCCCACCTTCCTTGGAAGGCGGCCGCGCCGGACGCGCGTTTACACCCTAACCCTAACCCTTGCCAGGCTATTGCTAAATTTTGACTGGTTGAACGCGTCCGTGTCCTAGTGCCCCCGTTCTGTGTGGTTTGTATTTGTTAAGTAATGAGTCAAACCGTCGCAAGAGACAGAAAAATCTAGGAAGACCCAACATGAGCATTGATGGCCATTTTTCTGTTTTGTCTGCCACAAGCTCCAAGCGACGATACCAGGTCATCTCCATCTCATAGACGTCGAGGGGAAGATTCCACCTCTACAGGAGAGCTGCAGCCGATGCCCACCTCCCCTGGAGCCGACCTGCAGAGCCCGGCCGCGCAGGATACACTGTTTTCCAGCCCTCCTCAGATGCATTCTTCAAGTGTGTTTCTGAACGTCTATGTTCGACTGTGGTCAATATACCCACAATGCTTCAGCTGGTTAGATTTGCTGGTTTGCTAACAGTTAGCTAACTAACTCTGTGCATGAGCTAATATGTTCACCAAAAGAATGCAGAGATAGTACATGTTAGAGCTTAGTGGGCGAAAAAAGAAACTTTTGGTGCTTTTTTATAGGATATTTAATAGTCCTCAGAGTCTTCATCACCACAAGTTACAATAAACCTTTGGCTTGCTGTTGCGTGTAGATGACTTACATCAACGGATGACGTGCTGTAGTTCTGAGTTTTATATGCTACCAGAATTTCATTGTAAATTTTCTAATTTTATTTTTATAGCTATTCCTCTTGATTTTGATGTTAGTTCACCGCTGACATATGGCACTCCCAGCTCTCGTGTAGAGGGAACCCCGAGGAGTGGTGTTAGGGGCACACCTCTGAGGCAGAGGCCTGACCTGGGGTCTGCACGGAAGGGCCTGCAGGTGGATTTGCAGTCCGATGGGGTGAGTACACAGTACAGTCTTTTGATAGGATCATGTTGGGAACATAAAACAGGTAATTATCCATTAACGTGATTCTGTCATATTTTTCTGTGTAGCCAGCAACAGAAGATATCATGGCAAGTGAGCAGTCTCTAGGGCAAAAACTTGTGATTTGGGGGACAGATGTAAATGTGGCAACGTGCAAAGAGAATTTTCAGGTGAGCTATATGTGTTAAAATTCGTACTCTTAGGACTCTGAAAATGCTGAAAGAAAGTGTTTATAACTGATATCTATATAGTCATAATACTTAGTAGGTTTTTAGGTGTCTTAGAATTGTTGATTTTTTTTAGTTTTTAAGAAGAAAAAAACATTATTTATATCTGTTTACAAATAGTGACATACTCATAACTTTTTGTATTTTGAATAGTTGTTTATTCCTAAATGCATTAAGCTTAACATTTTTCTCTCCACGTCAAGAGATTTCTTCAGCGTTTTATTGACCCTCTGGCTAAAGAAGAAGAAAACATTGGCATAGATGTTACTGAACCTCTGTATATGCAACGACTTGAGGAGGTAATCAGACATTCTTATTTGTACCTTCAAATTATGTATTATAAAACAAAATTAGAGTATAACTTGTTTATTTTATTTTACAGATTAATGTTATTGGGGAGCCATTTTTAAATGTAAACTGTGAACACATAAAATCATTTGACAAAAGTCTGTACAGACAGCTCATCTGTTACCCACAGGTAGGAATTTTGCTTTGACTGTGATGAATTACAGTAAACATCTAGAACATCAGGAGGGTTTCTAGATAGCAGAATTCCCTTGGTGGTGACAGAGGGAATATGTCTCCAAAGCACAGGAACTTCTTTGGAAAACCATGTTTCTTCTTCTTTAAGATGAACATTTTTTCACACTTGAACATTTCTGAAATTGGGTTTTGTATTACTGTCAACAGCATGTCACAGTTTAATTGGCAGTGTTTCTTAATAGTGTATAAAATACTGATGAATCTTAGAATTGGTAGCTTTTTGGGTTTGATGAAGTAAATTATCATAAGTGGAAATATGTTATAAATGCATTATGTATTTCTGCCATCTCTAACAGAACATATTAACTATATTGTGTTTTTCTTCTAGGCTTAAGGTCAGGTTTTATTAATGAAGTATCAGCTATATTGATTTTAGCTCTAGGCTTTGAAGGCACGCAGACTTGGTTTTAAATCTTGATTTTGCTGCTTAATAGCTGTGTAACCTTGGTCAAGTTTCTTAGCCTCCAGAGGCTGTTCCTTCATCTGCAAAATGGGGAACAAAAGTTACCAAATTTGAAGAAGATAATTATGATTTAATCTATTTTGTTATCATTTTATTATGGAGAAAACGTAAAACATGAAAGTATGAGCTCAAAATCCTTTCTGTTACTAATTGAAAGCCTAAAGTGTGCCAGTACATTGCAAAGGTACTTGCATATATATACTCACATTTTAACCCAAATGAGAACGTGCAAAGATAAGATAGTTGAGTGTGCCCAGGGTTTGTAAATGGCGTGTGTGTGATTATATAAGATAATGCTTTTGGATTATGTGTTTTTGCTTTACTTTGCCAATATGAAATGCTTTATTTCTTGTATGTAATCCTAAGATAGGAAAACAAACACAGCTTGGCATACTTGTATTCATTTTTACAGGAAGTTATTCCAACTTTTGACATGGCTGTCAATGAAATCTTCTTTGATCGTTACCCTGACTCGATCTTAGAACATCAGATTCAAGTAAGACCATTCAACGCATTGAAGACTAAGAATATGAGAAACCTGAATCCAGAAGGTGATATTTTTAATAGCAGAAAAATACTTTGCATGAAAATAAACAAAACCTTATTTCATCAAGGAACTTTAAAAGAATTGGTGGTGATAGTGGTGATGATGGAATATAAATCAAGGAAATAATAGCAGATTCAATTACCCTATATGCATATGAACCCAGCATACTTTTTTTTTTGACTTAAATTATATAAAAGATGTTGTAACTATTGAAAATTCTCTATCTTAAGTTGAACTTAACCAAATATAATAATTTTACAGTTATTTTGTTAGGTAGGCGCTTTCTCAGAATCACTGTAGAAAATAAGTACAAAATATGATTCCTGCTCTAGAGCTCAAGAAAGAAATCTAGTTTGGAAAGTAAATAAAAGAAAAGGTAAATAACAGAAGAATAGTGCAAGAGATGTGTCTCAGCCCAGGGAGAGAAGGAGAGCACTGTGCCAAGTGGGAAGAGTCCATGGTAGAAGGAAAATTTGGATCACAGTAAGGATTTAGAAAGTAAACATGAAGGAATTCACTCTGAACAGAAGAAAGAAGGGATACAGCAGAAGCGAAACAGAGCAATATATGGACAATAAGTAATGGCTGAAGCAGGGTGTTTGGGAGGTAATGTTTACATGGGGGCTGGTAAGCCTAGGTCCTGAAGCACTTTGATTTCTAACTTAATCTAGGTTTTTATTCCAAAGTCAATAGGGAGCCATTGATACTTTTTTTTTTTTTTTTTTTTAAAGATTTTATTTATTTTATTTTTCCCCCCAAAGCCCCAGTGGATAGTTGTATGTCGTAGCTGCACATCCTTCTAGTTGCTGTATGTGGGACTCAGCCTCAGGATGAACGGAGAAGTGGTGCCTCGATGCGCACCCGGGACCCGAACCCGGGCCACCAGCATCGCAGCACGCGCACTTAACCACCAAGCCACAGGGCCGGCCCAAAGATTTTTTTTTTTATTTATTTTATTTTTTCCCCCCAAAGCCCCAGCAGATAGTTGCATGTCATAGCTGCACATCCTTCTAGTTGCTGTATGTGGGACTCGGCCTCAGGATGGACGGAGAAGTGGTGCCTCGATGCGCACCCGGGATCCGAACCCGGGCCGCCAGCATTGCAGCGCACGCACTTAACCACCAAGCCACAGGGCCGGCCCCATTGATACTTTTTGAGGAGACAGATTTTGCCATTCTTGAGAAGTTGGCGGTATGTCTAGTGTGGAAGGTATGTTGAAGTTCAGTTAGGAGACTTCAGTGGTAGCTCAGATATGGGGCAGCAGTGTCCTGAGCTGGACAGTGGCCATAAGAGTGAGAATACAGGACAGACATGATGTTTGCCATATATGAAGATTGAGGTATAAAAGCTATTGAGAACTAATAGATACCTCTCTAGATAAATGTGCAGAAGACACAGATTGCAGTAAAAGGAAATAAGACAGCCAATAAATGTGAGTAAGTGTTGGACTTCACTGTTTATTAAAGAAGTGGAATTTTTTTTTTCTCCTATGAAATTGGCTCCTGGCATCATCTCTGGGAGGGAGTTCTGGTGGGGACACTGGAGGAGGTATAGGAGAGCTGTGAGTTTTCGGAGGCAGAGCATTGTTACAGAAGGAATTCCAGGGTGAGACGGGAGATTACAAATTGCGAGGTACTCAACTGATTTCAGAAGTTTTTAACTTTTGCGTTTATTTATGTAACTTATTACAAAAGTTACATTTTAAAGTAAAAGAAGGCTTGGTGGGTAGAGAAGCAAGGAAGATGTGTAAGTAGGTAAAAGGACAGGATCAAGTTGTGAAGGCCTTGTGAATCAGCAGTCGGTGCTGGGGTGGGGTGACCTGCCCGGCCAACAGTGGCTAACTACAGGCCATGTTTTGTTGACTACAAAGAACAGTGTAACTTGTTTGGAACCAGCAGTGGACATCAGTTGGGGAAAACATTGTCTCTCAGGGAAGGTCCAAATCATGGAGGAACCATGAGAAGAGTGAAAAACAGTCTATCCAGGGGCTTTCTCATGTAGATACTGGCTGAGTTATGTAATGCTTCTTCTCTGCCAAGTGTTTTTCTTATTAGGCTTGCTGTCTACTGACCCATTTAATCCTCTAACAACCCTGTGAGGTACGTACTGCCATTGCTCCCATTTTGCAGATGAGGCACAGGGAGGCTGAGTGTGTCCCCAAGGTCACACAGGTACTCGGTCCAGGCCATCTGGTGCTAGAGCCCATGCCTGTCACACACACTAGGACAGCAAGACTTCCATCTGGCACAGTGCGTGAGGAGGAACGCCATGGGACAAAATAGGTGAAAGCAGAGACCTGATCTGAAACCAGAAAATGGAGGCGAACTGGAGGCAGATGAGAAGGGAGTTGGTGGGTACTTGTTGGATAGGAGGCCCTAAGGAAGAAACGGCCAGAGGTCCATCAGAGTTGAGAGGAAGGCAAACTGGACACAGGAAGGGCATCCTAGGCCAGACCTGAGGGTTCCCAATGAGATGTTCATGCCCTGGCCACAGTGCCTTCCTGTGACCGCAGTCATCCCCAGGTACCTCTGCACCTTTGGGTGAGATTCTTTTGGGCTTGATGCCAGGAGTTCAGCTTGGGAAGTGACCACATCTGGCTGGGCTATGGGCAGTGGCTAATGGAGAAGCTGACCTCTCTCGCCCCTTGCAGACATCGATCAGCTGATCGCCATCAGTGGCATGGTAATCAGGACGTCCCAGCTGATTCCAGAGATGCAGGAAGCCTTCTTCCAATGCCAGGTGTGCGCCCACACAGTGCGGGTGGAGATGGACCGTGGCCGCATCGCTGAGCCCTGCGTCTGTGAACGCTGCCACACCACTCACAGCATGGCGCTGATCCACAACCGCTCCGTGTTCTCCGACAAGCAGATGGTGCGTGGCCTCCTGGGGCACTGGGTGGCCGCCCCTTTGGCGTGTTGATTTTGTTCTGCCTCTCTGGCGCCTCAGGAAGCCAAATTTAACTTGTCCATTCTCCAGGTCCTAACACCTTGCTTCCTGAGCGGCATTCAGCTCCTTCCTTCCCTCTCTGTAGGTTTTGTCCGACGATTGCAGCCTGAGGCCTGGAGCGCTCTGAGGCTCGAGCTTTGGGGTGTCAGTGTCCCTGTTTTATTGCTGCGAGCACCAGGTCATTATTTGTAGTCAGCATTCTCATGGCCTATAATAATTCATAACAAGAGAAAGAATGTGTTCTTCTACTATAAACATTTTAAGTTTAATGTCATTTGTAAGTTAACAGATCAAATTAGCCTACTCTGACATTAAATCAAAGTTAACGTGAGATGCTTCTATGGGAAATATTTAAAATTGTATGACTTTTTTTAGTGTGTCAGATAAGAGTATATAAAACATTTGAGATCAGTAAAAATTATTTGGTTTAATTCTGTCATTTTGCAGCTGTTCCACTGGAAATAAATGGGTTGAGAAATTTTTCTAAAGTTTCACAAATTTTATTATATAGGAAGTTTGGACTTTCACCTCTTTAATCATGAAAATTTGAAGCTGAAGTTATTAAAATGATGTAGAAATAAGTGGGGAAGGGCAGAAAATCATTTATTTACTATGATTATAGTGGTATAAAAGTATGCACAAGGTCTTGTTTTTTTGTTTTGTTACAGTTTAAGCAATTTTTTTAATCTTAAGTAGAGAAAATGTGTTGAAAATACTACAAAAGGTAATTTCTCTTATTGGAAGTCCATAAGAAAAATACTAGCAAATGTGAAAAAAGTGTTGAACTTTATTGTTAACCAAAGAATTGAAAATTAAGTTAAGATATAAATTTTCATGTAACATTGGTATAAATTGCTGGAGTAAGTGTGCATCAGCCCACGCCACCATGGTGCTGAGAGCTAGAGATACAAAGGTGGAAGCCCTGCCCCCAAGGACCTTGTGGTGGAGTAGTCTTAGGATGCTTCAAAGACTCCCAAACTGACTTAGAATAAAACCTAGCGTCTTAGGTTAGCTTCCAAGCCTACATGGCTCAACATCACCCACAACACGCCTTTGTGTATCTACAGACCTCACTGATGTTGTCTCTACCACTCCCTTATTCTCGGCTCCTCAGTCAAGCACAAGCCTCCTCAGAACCTCTGTACTTGCTGTTCTTCCCGTGGAGAACACGTGGCTTCCTCCCCACACCCTTAGGCCTCTGCCCGGAGGTCACCTGATTTGAGACAGGCCTTCCCTAAGCTTTCTGGCGTCTCCTCCACCCCCGCCGTCTCTGCTCCTCACCCTGTTGTCTCCTCCTGTCAGTTGCATTTGTCACTGTCAGATCTGTGCTCCCTTGTGTGTATGTGTATTGTCTGTCCCCGCTCGCCTCTGTGAGGGGAAAGACTGCATTCACCGCTGAGTCCCCAGCACCTGGAACGGTTTCTGGCACGTGAGTCGATAGAATCAGGTAACAGGCTAGTATTTGTGGAGTGCACACAGTGACTAGAAGAAATGGACAGAACTGCTTCACCGTAAGCCTGAAAAGTGTGTGCTTCTCAACCTAGGAAATCCACTGGAAATAACTTCTAAAAAATGTAGTTAGAATTGTAGGCCAACATTTATGCACAGAGATATCCACTAAAACCTTAAAATGGCAGAAAACAGTCGCCTGAATCGCTGCCCCGTTTCCTGAAAGAGGGGAATGCTTAAATAAACATCCTTACATTTGTGTGTTTCAAACAAATTTTGATGTAAATGTGCATTTTTAAAAACGTAACTGTCTGGAGATTCAAACGAAGAATGGTGTTTTAAAGAGGAGTAAAGATGCTGGGCTTCAGAAACGGTCGCCTGCAAGTGGCGCCGAGACTTGCACGTCTTGTCTCCGTCGTGCTTGCTTCACGCCTGAGCTTTCTGTGTTCACGGCTCTCCTTTCAGATCAAACTTCAGGAGTCTCCTGAAGACATGCCTGCAGGGCAGACGCCTCACACTGTCATCCTGTTTGCTCACAACGACCTTGTCGACAAGGTCCAGCCTGGGGACAGAGTGAACGTTACAGGTAAGAGTGTAGGTGGTATTAAGGCGATAAGTCTGTTTTCCTTCCGTGACACTTGTGAGTCAATCCTCTGACTTGCTCATGGATTTGCTGGATTCCTGGGGCTCGGTCTTGCCTCCACCTGTGCTTCAGGTCTTGCGAAGATGGGATGTGTGCTTTAATCACCACCTCTTTAATCTGGCAGGACAGCACCTTTCAATGCCTTGTCTTTGTGGTCACTTGCTTCTTGCCATCTCAGGTATCCCAGAACCATGTGTTTATCTGTCTTGATAGTGTTAGTATCTTGGGAAAACAGCTACAGGCAAGGCTGGTATTGCTAAAATCTGAGCTATGCCAGCCCTCCAGGAAGTATCGCTCACCAACTCTAGAATTTTAAGTGGTTTTCTACTTATTTCCCAAATGGACAGCTAAGGGTTAAAATTTATTTATTACAGAGAAGAATGGGTCAGCGTCCCTTGTTTCTGTGCTAGGAGTTGTATTAGGGTATTTTTAGAGCCGAGGACGCTGAAATTCAGAGAAGTGACGTCACTGGAGCTAAGATTCTGCAGTAAATTGAGGCGCCAGGACTTGGATCCTCCTCTTCCTGCCAGTGGGGTGCTCTTCCTGCTGCACCGCACAAATGTGCCAGTCTGTCTTTTGGTGCTTCGGAGCAGCGCAGGCACCTGGTTTCTCGAGGGGGGTGTGTTGTTGATGGCAGGCGTAGTTCTGAACTGAGGGCAGTGTGGGGATTGAGTCCGGGGGTGGCTGAGGCTCCTAGGGTCGTCCGTCTGTTCTGCTCAAGGAGTCAGGACTCAGCCTGTGTCTTCCCCAGGAGGAAGTCCAGCGGTTGTCAGGAGCAATCTTAATTTATAAAAGTAAGTGTAGTAGTTAAAAGTTTGAAAGAATGTGTCGTCTCTACTGAAGAGATGTGCGATCCCAGTTCTGCCACCCTGCTGTTCTGATAAAGTATTTAATCCACTGTTTTAATTTCCTTAGCTGCGAAGTGGAATTAGTGGGATGATACATGTGGAAATATTTGTCAGGGGTGGGGGGCCTGTGGAAAATGCCGTACAGATGTGAAACAAGTACTGTCAGTGCTGTTCTGTGAAGATGAACCGTTGCAGGGACCAGTAAAGATAACTAAGCCACTTTAAACATAGTAAACATAAGCATCCACCCTGGTCTGTCTTGGCATGAAGAATAGTGTGTTCTAAGCATGTTATATATAGACTGGGTTTATGTTTTACAAAAGAATGGCGTTGGCCTGTGAGGTAAACGGGACAGTGAGCTGTGGCGGCGTGTGGTGAACGCTGTGAGGGGGAGGGGGCATTTTCTCCTCAGAAGCAAGAGGAAACTGACTTGTCCTGGAGTTCAAGGGTTCTACTTGCAAATTCAAAAAAGATAACCATCGGCCTTATCAGTTTGGGAACCTTTTCTTCTTGGAGAATGGATGAGTTAGTATGATTGAAGAGTTGGTTGTTTATCCACTTCTTTTAATGTTCTTAAATTATCTTCTTTAGAAAGCAGGGTAAGGCACAACCCTTCACCTAGAAACACCTCCTGTTATTAACAAAGTAGAGTCATTTTTTCTTCACCATATCTTCACCTTTGACTCACTAAACTGTCTTACTGTCTGTGAAATAATTTGTGAGTGATTTTTAAAAGATTTGAGTGTTTAGAATTAACTTTTTTTCCAGTTTTTTGGTACAGGATTTTAGTATTTTGTTCCAGTCAAATAATTGCTAGGCAGATTCTGTATACTCAGCTTAAGGGAATTGAAAATACTGTTTCAAAATACTGTTCATTGAACACAGCCATAGAGCCAGGCATTGTGCTAGAAGCAAAGTAATTTCATTTAAACCTCAGAATGGTGATATATGGTGTGGTGATGCTCATATAGGTGTCCAGGGTAATTTCATGTAAACCTCAGAATGGTGATATATGGTGTGGTGATGCTCGTACAGGTGTCCAGGGTTGCAGAGCTAACAAGTGGTCACAGATGGACACGTTTTTAGGTCTGCCTTTTTCAGAAACCTGTGTTCTTTCCAACTTGCCCTGCCGGCTTCGGCAGGGAGCTTTGCAGTGTAGGCCTGAGTCCTAGGCCTGGGAGGGCCAAGAAGGCAGTGTGCTTGGGAGCTCCCCCCATCATTACTAGCCCTCAGCCCTCAGTTCTCAGCGTTGTGTGTTGTCTGCATTGGTTTCCTGAGCCCGTTAGTGGAAGGTAAAAGGATGTTTCATGGTTGTGCCCTCAGGTATCTATCGGGCTGTTCCTATTCGGGTCAATCCAAGAGTGAGTAATGTGAAGTCTGTCTACAAAACCCACATTGATGTCATTCATTATCGGAAAACTGATGCAAAACGTCTGCATGGCCTTGATGAAGAAGCAGAGCAGAAGCTTTTCTCAGAGAAGCGTGTGGAACTGCTTAAGGAACTTTCCAGAAAACCAGACATTTATGAAAGACTTGCTTCAGCCTTAGCTCCAAGCATTTATGAACATGAGGATATAAAGAAGGTAACGCTGAAATTTTAACTTGGGATTGGTATTTATAGTTCTTTGGGATCAAATAGTATAAGCATCCATACCCCCCACCCCCCCCCAAAAAGGATAAGGACACCCCCCACCCCCCCCCAAAAAGGATAAGGACTGTTGCCTGTCTGGCCGAGCAAGGTGCTCGCAACCTGACTTGCTTAGTAATTGAGGAGAATCACAGCTTCGTTGTCCATCTCTTTATCTCTGCACCAAACTTATATGTTTCTAAATGTAAGAAAAGCCATACAGGGTCAGAATAGGGATTTACACGGCCACCATTCTGGCATAATGGTGTGTGCTTATGTGCAAATTGGTTAATGATAACTTAAAGCACTGTCACATACATTTTTAATACCTTCCTTTAATTTCTTAATTGTAATTCTGCATCCATGGAGTAGAAAAACACCTCTAATGTTTAAACTGTATCTCAGTTACTGTACGGTAAATGAGTGTTTAGACATGTTTGTTTGTTTAGGGAATCTTGCTTCAGCTCTTTGGCGGAACAAGGAAAGATTTTAGTCACACAGGAAGGGGCAAGTTTCGTGCTGAGATCAACATCCTACTGTGTGGTGACCCTGGGACCAGTAAGTCCCAGCTGCTGCAGTACGTTTACAGCCTGGTGCCCCGGGGCCAGTACACGTCTGGGAAGGGCTCCAGTGCAGTTGGCCTCACCGCGTACGTCATGAAAGACCCTGAGACAAGGCAGCTTGTCCTGCAGACTGGTGCCCTTGTCCTCAGTGACAATGGCATCTGCTGCATTGACGAGTTTGACAAGATGAATGAAAGTACAAGATCAGTACTGCATGAAGTCATGGAACAGCAGACTCTTTCCATTGCAAAGGTGAGTGATATTCTCCATTCATAAACACACGTTCAGAACATGTAGAGACTCGAAATAAAGCATCTGTGAAACTGTCCGGTGTAACCTTGGTTCTAACTTGGGGAAACTGGTAAATACTTTTCCTATTAGATTTCAGGTAAATCTCTTTGAGTGTTTTCTACAGGATCCTCTTTCATCTTTTGCTCTGCTTAACCCACTAATGTATGCTTTTTGTAGAACTTGAGTTTGCCTACATCTCATGTGAGGGGTTTAGTTTCTGAGAAGGACGCAGTTATAGCATACATGTATCTAAAACTTAGTCCTTGGCTTGAATCCAGGGACAGGGTGTTGTCCCAAGTGGAACCACTGAATCACCTTGATACGGTGACGTGGCTTTTGGTGGCAGTGGAGACGTGGCAGAGGGCTTGTTAGGAGAAGATGGCTCACACGGTTCCTGCTACCATCAGGGTGAGGCTCCTAATGGCACTGTTTTCTCTGATAGGCTGGGATTATTTGTCAGCTCAATGCACGCACCTCTATCCTGGCAGCAGCAAATCCTATCGAGTCTCAATGGAATCCTAAAAAAACTACCATTGAAAATATCCAGCTTCCTCACACGTTACTATCAAGGTATAAAAACATATTTTTATAAAACTGGTGTTCTTTGCTCGTTTGTAGAATTTTCAGGGTGAGGTTAAGAAAAGGAAATACTAATATTCAATGGGTGCCAATATCACAAAGTCTTCACTCTAATGGGAAAGTTTTCAAATTTGGTTTGTTGAGGGTTTTCATGGCAAGGCCCATGTGTCTCTCCACTCAGCTGTGGGTAGCCCCGTAACATTTATTTGTCTTTTCCAGCAGTTAGGACATTTCACCTTGACATCCTTTGCAGAAGCCTGTCACTCACTCCTCTTACCTCAGTCTTAAGGCCACTACAGAGGATCAACAAAGTGTGGAGAACAGTTTCACACTGTAGTTACGGTTCTGAAAAATTAAATTTGTTAAAGCGGAGTCATATAATCTTACTTTTTCTCAACTCACTACTCCAAATATTGATGTGTTTCATAAATGGGTTTTACATTTTAATTACTTGATTTTTTTTTTTTCCCAAATAGTTCTTTTTTCCCAAAACGATTGAGTGTATTTTCATTCAAATCTTCCAGTCTTCAAAAGTATTATAATGTTTTCCTCAGGGGACTCTTACTTTGACTCAGCTGTTTGGTGACTAGCTGTTTCCTGGGCAGACCTAAGGGCCAGGAAAGCGGGTGCCTGTTGGGGACAGAGCAGGGTGAACTGGATTGATCTGAGGCTCTTTAGGCAGCCTGCACAGGAGACACTTCCTCCCCTTCTGCGGCCCTGACTAAACGCACGTTCACTGTACGTGCCTGGGTGACTGGAGCGCAATTTTTAAATTAGGTTTGTAGGTGTGTTGGTGTGCCAACTAGGAAAACTATGTTTTCACAATATTTTCTCAGGTTCGATTTGATATTCCTCATGCTGGACCCTCAGGACGAAGCCTACGACAGACGTCTGGCTCACCACCTTGTTGCTCTGTACTACCAGAGCCAGGAGCAGGTGGAGGAGGAGTTCATGGACATGGCAGTGCTGAAGGACTACATTGCCTACGCTCACAGCACAGTCATGCCTCGGCTGAGCCAAGAAGCCAGCCAGGCTCTCATCGAGGTAATACGTCAGTGTTTAAAGCCTGAAAAGCTGTTTTGCTGAGCCTGTAGCCAAAAGCATAAATGTAACTAGCTGGTCATCACCTTTAAAACATTAATTATTCTGTCAAGAATAACATGCTGTTCTCTATAACTGTTTTTTCTCCTGTGTTGCAAAATTGACTTTCCAAATGTAAAAGGGAAAAAGATTCATTTATGTATGTTATACACACTGTTTTTATATTTAAACACTTGTAAGCACGGTGAATTTAAGATCAGAATACCTGAGTTGAAATACAGGTGATGCTATGTAGTAACTTTGTAACTCGGGACAAGTCATCCAATTTCTCTGAACGTCCATTTCCTTGTTTCTAAAAAGTAAGATGAATGATAAGTAATTTGTGCTCACTTTCAGTATCCTTTTATGTGGGCAGCAGTGCACAATGACACGTTAGATTATTCAAACACTGTGATATTATGAAGGTTCCTGGTGCTTTGATGGGCTTTACATCCTTACTAAGCCCCCAAAGATGCTCAAATGAAAGTTACAGCTGATATGTAATTTTCCATTTGTATCAAATTCTTGAGAGTTTTTCAAAAAGAAATAAAATTGTCATCTAGATAAGTTTAATACAACTTACCTTTGTAACATTATCCTAGTAAACCTTTGCTGCATGCCTCATTAAGTGAATCCTCAGCAGAGGTGTAAACCAGAGTCAGTACCTCAGCGTCTTTTTCAGATGGGCACCCCCACCTGCCTCTTACCCAGCACACCGTGTCCTCTGAGTGCCAGGCCTCACGCAGCTTCTCTGCCCGTTCCCATTCTCCATTCTTCAGAGCCACATCACATAACACCTTCTTGATGAGCTTCGAGGCCCAAGGCTAGATCTGACTTTTAATTCTCCTCCACACCTGCACATGGCAGCCAGGCAGGAGTTCACTTTAATGAAATCCTAACAGTTCACTTCAAAGTTCAACCACAAGACTAAGGTTATTGTTACTGAGGAGTTTTGGGTTTTTTCCTGTGTGTGTACACTAGGCTTATGTAGACATGAGGAAGATTGGTAGTAGCCGAGGAATGGTTTCTGCATACCCTCGACAGCTGGAATCGTTAATTCGTTTAGCGGAAGCCCATGCAAAAGTACGATTTTCAAACAAAGTGGAAGCAATTGACGTTGAAGAGGCCAAACGCCTCCATCGGGAGGCTCTGAAGCAGTCTGCAACTGACCCCCGGACTGGCATTGTGGACATATCTATCCTTACTACAGGTTTGTCATTTGCCTTGAACATAAAAGCACATGAAATTTAATATGTAAGTGATTGATATTTCACGTTGAAGCTAACGATTACATCATTTGAAGCAGAGGTTCTTAACCTTTTTTGGATCAGAGCCCCTTTGAGAATCTAATAAAAGTTGTGAGAATAGACACTGACTTCTCCTGAGGAGAATAAACTCTGGCCCACACAGTGTTGTATCTGATTTCAAGGGAATTCTCTCTCATCCCCTGCTGTCTGGACGCTCATCTTAGCCCATCATAAAGAAGTAATTCATTTCTTAATGAGCAGTGAGTCTACCTACTATACAGATTATGTGGACTGTGTTTCAGGGGAAAATTGTAGCTATTGGCTTATAGAAAATTGGAAACAGCAGAGAACTCAGAACTCATGATTAACATGTATTTTGGCATTCAGCCACTGTCCCCTAATCTTTTTTAGCAACACTACTAAGGAAATATTTATGGAAATTTGAAATATTTCACTTCCTTATTGCAGAAATATTTTCATTAATTTTTTTTTAATCAGGAATGAGTGCCACATCTCGTAAACGGAAAGAAGAGTTAGCTGAAGCATTGAAGAAACTTATTTTATCCAAGGGCAAAACACCAGCTCTAAAATACCAGCAACTTTTTGAAGATATTCGGGGACAGTCTGACATAGTAAGTGTTTATATGTATTTTCTTTTTTCTCTTAATACTGCTTTCAAGGTTTTTTCTTATTTTTTCCTTCATTTATTGTTCAATAATGTTTAAGTAATAAATAAATAAGAAAGGTAAGATCACCCATAAACCCATCATCAAGAAATAATCGTGAGTAAAATTTTGTTGTACTCCGTTCATGGTTTTTCTGTGTGTATATGTACATAGAAACATAGTCAATTATAGCTACACTGTTTTGTAACTTGGTGTTTCTTTTTAATTAATAATGTACTATTAATATCATCTGTGGTGGTAGATAGACTTCATAACGTTATTTGTAGTGGTTGGGTAACGTTCTGTTGCATGCATGTTCCATCATTTACTTAGCCCGTTGTTGCACAGGTAGGATGTCTGCAGTTTTTTGCTATTATAAATAGTGTTACAGTCGCACATCTTAATTTCATAACTGAAATTTATTATATAAATTCGTTCGGGGGATGAAATGCTCAGGTGCCCTTTTGTGACTAAATAAAGTTGAGTTGTTCAGTGAAAAGAACTCTGCTGGCCAAATCCAGCCCTTCACTTACTTTCATAACACCCCTTCACTTACGTGTCATCTGGGTGACACTGGCACTACGGGGGCAGAGCTGAGGAGTTGCAGCAGACCATTCAGGTACCAAACCTGTGGTATTTACCACCTGGCCCTTCACAGGAAGTGTTTGCCATTGCTAAGTTAGAGCGTAAGACGTGTATACAACCACCAGAAAGGAAAAGCCTCTGGCGGTTCTTTAACATTGAAATCGTCGTATCTCGAACACGTAAGGGAATAGCGGTCGTGTGAAATATTTGTTTCCTCCTCTTTCCCAAAGGCGATTACCAAAGATATGTTTGAAGAAGCACTGCGTGCCTTGGCTGATGATGACTTCCTGACAGTAACTGGAAAAACCGTTCGCTTGCTCTGAAGCTCTTGTGAGCAGTGCTGTGTGTCCTGCTGGTCTGCTCTTGGATGTTGCACATGCTTGCTCATGTGTACGGGATGCGGGCCAGTCAGCTGCCACCGCTGCCATCTGTGGAAATAGATTCTTCAAGTCATTATTTGGCTCCATAAAAATTTTCTAACCTAGATTCCATTTTCAAAGTGAAGTGTATGTTTTCATTTCTTTAACATTTTAAGTAACAGTACTGTGCTGGTTTACAAACGTATACAGTAGAGGTTATTTTCTTGAAGTGCCATTTCTTTAGCACCAGGGCTTTTAATCTGTATTTCTATGCAGATAGCAGGATGTCGGTCTTTTCTGGAGTTGGCAGTCTGGGTCTGGGTCATGGGGTTTGTATTGGACTTTCTAATGGCAATCACCCTCATGTTGAGGTTTTTGTAATATGAGCTAAGACTTAGTGATGGCATATCGTTCTGTGTGAGGTAATGAAGGACCATAGCCTTTCTCCCTGTTTCAACTCTCAAGTGTGATTCCTTCTAGAGGCTTGTTCTCAAGGCCACTATAAGATGGAAATGAGTGGTTGGAAATAATTAGCTTAACTTCTACTCCTTTATCCTTATATGTAAAACTTTTTCCTAAATAAATGATAGAATAAGTAATACTTGGTTATCTGACATTATTTTTCATTAAGAAAAAAGCTTTAATGAATATTACAGTCATGGAAATTCTTGATGGTGAGTACTTTGTAAATCATAAAAGAAACTATAATGGATTTCATTTTATTCAAAAATTATTTCAATCCTAGCAGTCATAATTCTTAAAAAACCACCATAGGCTGAAATCTTATTTGGAAGTAGTACTATAATAAGTAATCTCTGAAACATTTGTAGGGGATCAGAATTGGCCACCCCAAAATGTGTCTCTGGCATGAGGAGTATTGTGGGTTGGTTATTTTTAAAAACTGCAGACATGGGAGAAGCTCTGAAAAGTAGAAATTACCCCTTGTAAGAAACATTGACATTTGTAAGGGAAATCTCCATTTGTAAAGGTATCTCCCTCTCTACCAGGAAGAAGGGGGGATGATGACCTTATCTCTAGAAACTCTTATCAGTGTGGAAGGCAAAGACTTAAATCTGCATAGTAACCTTACTCGCACTCTTATTGATGGTGCTTTTCTGGTAATCTCCCGTAGCTGACTCCCCTAACTCCCAACATCCTCTTTTGTCTTCAGCTAAAGATAGTATTTAAGAGGAGAACCTGTGCCATTCTGATGCGTTACCCAGTCTTTCCTCCGTCTCTCCCATGTATACTTGTTATAAAGCTTTGTTTCATTTTCTCCTGTTATTCTGTCTCATGTCAATTTAATTCGTATCCCAGCTGGAAGGACCCAGAGTGGGTAGAAGATAGTCTTCCTCCTCTACACGTTTAAGTCATTGTGTGTTAGGCCTTTTTTTATAACTCAGAATCAACATTCATTAATAAAGTGTCTAGAGAAAATGATAGATCTAACTGAATGTTTAATGTTAAAATGTTATGGAATGGTGTTTAGCGGTCGTCTGACCAAACTCATTTCATGAAGCATCATTCTTATCTGTGCTATCCTTGGAAGGTTTGCGAAATGCCTCCTATTTTGCAATAGGCAGTGGTTAGGTTTGGACATCAAAAGATGCAAGGCCAACCACCCATCAAGAGGTTTTTCCAGTGAGGTTTTCTCAGTGAACTCACTGTGTAGGAGATGCTTTTATATGTAATCATCAGCCACTCTGTAGGATCAATACTTTCCTTTTTACAGATGAAAGAAGCAAAAAGTTTCATCTCTTGCCTAAAGACCCAAAGCAAGAGATGAGGCTGGAATTGAAACAGTTGAGTCTTCTGACTTTAGAACTTAACTTTAACTGTACAGTGCTCAGGCTATAGTTCAGGGTTTTTTTGGTTAATAAGTATCTTAAGCCCCCCCCCCTTTTTTTTGAGGAAGATTGGCCCTGCGTTAACACCTGTTGCCAATCTTCTTTTCTTTTTTCTCCACAAAGACCCAGTACATAGTTGTATATCATAGTTCTATAGAGTTGTAGCTCTTCTATGTGGGACAGCACCTCAGCATAGCTTGATGAGTGGTGAGTAGGCCTGCGCCCAGGATCCAAACTGGCGAACCCCGGGCTGCCAAAGCAGAGCACATGAACTTAATCACTACACCACCGGGCTGGCCCCTGGGGCTCAGGTTGTTAACTCTTCAATGCTTTTGGACACGCTGCTTTACACTTCCAAAAGTCATGCAGAGAAGGTTCTCTGGTGCCTGTCATGTGGTGTGTACTTTGTAAATGTTCCATTGAGGAAATAAGTCTGAATCTATTGAACTTTGTTCTCATGACCACATGTTCTTCAGACTGGAAATTAGTTTTATTCACAGCTCTCAAGTTACTCAAAGATAACTGGCTCCTTGGCTGAATTTGAGCTTGCCCTGAAAAGGTGTGATTAGCACACCCTATCATGGAAATCACACATTACGTAGGCCTTTGTGATGCAAAGTCACCTGAAAGTAATTGGAAAACGTCCTATGGCCACAATGAGAAAGCTCTCTTGACTTTTCCCCTAAATTGCATACTCAGTAAGGTCACAAAAAGCTTCCCTTCTTGCACAATTGTAAACTTAAAGAGAGCATTGCTACCACTAGGCAGCTGTAAGTCAAGGTGTCATAAAGTCCTAGAGTTGACCCCTTTACACAGTTCTGTGGAGTTGTAGAATTGATACAGGAAATAAAGACAGGCTCTTTCTCCAAATTAAATTCTTAACCTGCAGTAATGGCTAGAATATTTGAAGCTATATTTGAAATTAAACAGTGTGTATGCACAGTCCCTGAAACTGCTTGGGAAATAGTATATACTCAGTAAATACTTGTTGACTAAGATGTTTTACTTCTAAAGTTTATACATTAGTGATATTTTTCTCAACATTGTAATTCAGTACCAAGATGGAAGTTATATGCAACTGCAAATGAAGTGTGTATGTAGTTTGATTTTAAGGGAATTTTAGTTGAAGGAAAATAATGTGGCTGTCCTGTTGCTGGCAGGTTTCCTCATAGTGAATCAGGGCTTATTGAATTCAGCAACTTTCCTCTTCACGTCTATGATTTGCTCAGTGGTCTGTAGGTCTCTCAAAGCAGGGGTGATCCTATCCTCCCAGTGCAGTGCCTGGCCATAGATGCTTGTTACATGTTTACAGAGAGGATTGACTCCTATGAAGGGAGAGTGAGGTATAAAAATTATCTGAGGATGTTCTTGAAATCAGTGAAATCTCTGGATGTGGAGTGGAAGAATAAGAGCGTGTGTTTAAATTCATGCTCTGCCCCTAAATTCTGGCAGGTGCTCCCTTAGAGGGTGTGCCTCATGACTCAGTTGGAGCACACCATATCCCTCAGGAGTATTGAGGCAGGAAAGAACAGGAGCCACTGCCTTGGGCTGAGGAGCATTTTCTCCATTTGTATAAGGTGGTTTCTGAAAGCACGGGTATGGGCTACCCAGGCTCAAATCCTGGCTCCCCACTTACTCCTGACGTGCAACGCTTGGGACACTGGCATGCTGTAAGTGCTCAATAAATGTTGTTACTGTGAACAAAGTAAGGAGAGTGTGGGGCTTTCTTACTAGGACAATACTATTTCAGCTCAATTCCTATGAATATATATTTTTAAAAACACTGCAATATAATGTAATTCCATTTGAATTTTTCCCTCTGATTTTGACCTGAAAGATACCCAAACTTGCTGGTTAGAATAGCTTTATTTGATTTACACAAATATACACATGCCATTCTTCTTCCAGTATCCATCATAAATATAACGAATTCCATCCAAAGGAGTCAAAAATTAGCGAGAAGAATGAAGAAACTGTGGGAGATCAAGATCCGGCCACCCTGAAATATATCTCTTTGCCTTGATTATTTTCTCTGATGGACATTTAGCCTCCCCCAAACTGCCTAAAGGAATTTAACTCTGGGTGTAGACAGACTGGCAGGGTCCTCACTAAGCCCATTCTTAACAGTTTTGTTTACCAAATATTTACATTTGTTTTTGTGTGTGTGTGTGTGTGTGTGTGTGTGAGGAAGAGCAGCCCTGAGCTAACATCTGCCAATCCTCCTCTTTTTGCTGAGGAAGACTGGCCCTGGGCTAACATCCATGCCCATCTTCCTCCACTTTATATGGGACGCCGCCACAGCATGGCCTGACAAGTGGTGCTTCAGTGCGCACCCGGGATCCGAACCGGCGAACCCTGGGCTGCCGCAGCGGAGCGCACGCACTTAACTGCTTGCACCACCGGGCCGGCCCCCAAATATTTACATTTGTAAAGGTATCTCCCTCTGTGTAGTGGGAAAAGGGGGTATGACCTGATCTGTGAAAACTCTTATCAGGACGGAAGAAGAAGACTTAAATCTACATACTCTTGATTACTATAATTCCTGTCTCTCTGGCCACATACTCTATAGGTGGTCCTGCAAAGCATTGTCTGACAAAAATTTACATTTCCCTCTTCATGTAAATTGTCTTCTTCCCCTCTGAAATCCCAAAACACCACCCACCCCCAACATCCTTCTTTGTCTTTAGCTGAAGATAGTATTTAAGATGAGAATCTCTGCTATTATGTTGAGAAACTCAGTTTCCCTGGTTTCTCCCATGTATACATATTATTAAACTTGATATTATTTTCTCCTGCTAACCTGTCTTTTAATTATTTGGCCAGCCATAAGAACCTTAAGGGAAAGGGCAGGTAGGGATTCTCCCTCTTCCCCCACAAAACCCAGAATTTAATGACTCACCCTTAGCACACACATTAGGAAATATTTACTTTAAGAAAGTGCTGTTATTTATTAAATCTAAGGTAATTTCTTAAAATACCTCTTCAATTCAATTTTTAAGAATTTTTTTTTTTTTTTTTTGGTGAAGAAGACCAGCCCTGAGCTAACATCCATGCCAATCCTCTTTTTGCTGAGGAAGACCAGCCCTGAGCTAACATCTATTGCCAATCCTCCTCGTTTTTTTGCTCTTTTTCTCCCCAAAGCCCCAGTAGATAGTTGTATGTCATAGTTGCACATCCTTCTAGTTGCTGTACATGGGATGCTGCCTCAGCATGCCCGGACAAGTGGTGTATCGGCGCACACCCAGGATCCAAACCCGGGTCACCAGTAGTGGAGTGTGTGCACTTGACCGCTAAGCCACGGGCCCAGCCCCTAAGAATTCTTTTGAAATAAATTTCAAACTTACAGAAAAGTTGTAAAAAATACTATAAATCCCATATACTCTTCACTCAAATTCCTTTGGTGTTAACATTTTCTCAGGGCCGGCCCTGTGGCTTGGTGGTTGAGTGCGCGCGCTGCGATGCTGGTGGCCCGGGTTCGGATCCCGGGTGCGCATCGAGGCACCACTTCTCCGTTCATCCTGAGGCCAAGTCCCACATACAGCAACTAGAAGGATGTGCAGCTACGACACACAACTATCCACTGGGGCTTTGGGGGGAAAAATAAAATAAATAAAATCTTTAAAAAAAAAAAAAAAAAAACATTTTCTCAAATCTACTGTTATCATTCTCTGTAAATTTTTTTTATAATCATTTGAGAGTAAGTTGCAGACAGGATGCCCCTTCCAAATTCTTCCTAAAAACCACATATGTACTA